TTATACACTTCCCATCAGAGTGTAGGAAGGATTTTGCTGGCATTATAGTTAGCTTTACCAGGAATAGTGAGGTGTGGACACCTTCATTTATTCACATATTATATCCCAGTCAAAGCAAGGTAGGTGATTTTTGGTTTTGTTTCTGTTTTTGTTTTTTCCGCTGCTTGCACCAGGGTTTTCTCAGCAACAAACAGGTGGGATCTGATCTCAACTGGAAACCTACTAGAGTTAACAGTAATGTCATAGATATTAATTTGCAGGAGATTTCCTTCAGACACACGCACTTTTTATATGTTTTTCTAATTATGAATTTTGTTTTTATTAAAAAATAGCTAGAAGGAAAAGCACAGTTGAATGGAATTAGACACACTGTGTCAATTATGTCTCAGTGGATTTGCATTGGTTTCAAGACTTTATAGAATGCCTGAGTCATGACATGGCACTGCACGGTAGATTAGTTTGGTCCCAGAGAATGGCCAAGGTATTTCCAGCTATGCAGATAGGCTGGACAGAATATGACCTCTGTCACATCTCACCTCAAAAGATAGAGTTTCATGTACTACAGACATGCAGACACTTGTTTTTACCTTCCTTCAGTCTTTGTGCTCACCTGGAGACAGGACACTTATGAGACTATCCACTGAGGGGTATAAGTAGCCTTGAAAATAGTACAGCAGCAGTTCTGGGAGCACTGAAGCTGAGTAGCTGGGTGGCCAAAAGCCTTGTGTCAGAAAATAATTTAAATGAAAGGTAGATGGAAAAGGATGTAATAAACAAACTGGAAAAATACAAGGTAATAGGGAAAACATGGGATAAAGTGATACTTAACTGTTTGAAGACTTAAAGAATGACTGAAGAGTGAATAAATGACACCTTTGTAGATCCTACTGATAGATTCTTTACCAAAGGACCTGCTATACAATTATTTGGGAAACCTGACAGATGAGTTGTATGTGTAATTATAAATAAACTGACCAGTGCATAAACATACTCAGGAGGACATTTATTCATTAAAAGTCCTTGGAAAAAACACATAGATAGAATATTTTTTGTAAGGAATATTTATTTTCAGTTCCATTTAAACAACCCACTTTTGTAACACATACTAAAATCCTTAGGAAACATTCTACGAAATTTCAGGATTATAACCACAGGAATGAATTAAGTGTATTTCAGTTCTGGAGATTAAAATACAGAATATGTTTGCATCATTCTGCATTTTATTAGGTTGCTGCCTTTTGGTATGCTTTACATTAAAAATACATGACTGACACTCTTTATACCAGTAAGCCTTTTTATTGAAAAAAAATATTATTGCATTAAACTACATTCCCAGGGATTCCTTGAATAAGCTAAAACAAAAGTCCCATTGCATGTACAATAGTGCAATTCACTTAGCTACTGTATAATATAAAACACTTTATACAGAGAATACAAAACAAAATTACTAGTTTACATATTGTACTATCCAGTTTTAAATATAAACTTGACATTTTAAAATCAATCTGATCAAATGGCATTTTTTATGCAAATCTGCACAATAAATATGCGTGTTGGATGTATTCCAGAAATGCATCAGATACAAAAAAAAAAAAAAAAAGAAAAAATCCCAAACAACAACAAGAAAAAAGTTTATCATGGTGTGACTCTGGAAATTTTTTTAATGGAATTTTAAGGTGTGGGTGACCTCTTTCCTTAGATTATGTATCAAGAATATACAAACAAGCTAAAATAAATTATTAACTTGGTGTGTATATATCACTGCCATAAGGATACTGTAACTCTTTTAAAAAATCTCTTTAAATAAAATCAAAATTGCAGCACGGCTCCATACATCAGGCTCAATAATACTTTTAATAATTATAATGATACATATTTAAAGTACTTTACTGATGAAAAAAAATATGGCAGCAATTAGAGAAAATATATAATTTCAGCTGTGCTGATAGCTTTATTACATTTCTCCAAGAAAATCCCTCCTGTGCACTAAGAATGGTATTGGACATTGCCTGTGTTTGGTAATCAGTGATTACTGTTTTCTGTTGTGCTCTTTCTGTTCTTAATCTCTCTTTTTCTCCCCATTAATACATCTCAAAATTCTCATTCCCATTGTTCCAGGAATTAAAATTAATCTTCATTGTCAATTTATTTGCCCTACCATGTTGGTATGTAAAATGATGCATGGGAATCCTATGGTTTCATTTATTCTAGAGTCTCATTGTATGGTGCATACATTAAGGGAAACAAATACATCTATTTTCTGTAAATGATCTATGTAGTAGGATATGGTTAAGTTTGATTTGGTCAGGTTTCTTGCCACAGAAATTTCTATAATGTTAATATAGTATATTAACATTGCCTGGTAGAAATGGGAAAACAAAATATGTGTACATCTCATTAAAGATGAGATTAGCCCATCATTCCTTCAGTTCCATATTTTTCTTTTGGTGTTATCTACCTAGGGTACAAATGAACTTTTGCACACAGTGAGAACAGCTGGGTTTACTTCAACAGAGATGCAACTGGGCCCATAAATTTAAAAGCTTGTGGGGCTGGAAATGCACCTTTTATGCTGGTATTGTCCCTGGACTGTGGGTGATGGCCACGCAGCCCAGTCAGCCCCTCCTGGGGCACAGCTTGCCTGCTACTTTAGATGTCCAGTTCAGAATGTTTCTACAAAGTTATGATAATGTGTCCAAGTGGTCCACTGAGTGAGTGATCTCCATCCAAGCACGTAATAATTTTCAGAGGTGTTAAGTCAGAGTAAGTGAAATATGTTTGATTCTCAGAAAATAAAGTATCAGAAGTACAGAAATTATATGTAAATTAAGATCATATCTTGGGAAAATTTTCAGCCATTGAAATTGAAAGGAAGAATTGTTAAACTCTGGAAACTTTTCATTCTACAATTTTCCCAAATAAAAAATTTTACTTCCTTAATACTGAAGCAATAATTTTAATTAAAGAATTACTCTACAAATTAAATTAGAAAAAGAAATATAATTTATATGCCACTTACACACAGATAAGTAACACCAAAATGACATGAATCCGTTTTGTTAATGAGACTAAAAAATAAGTTGGGAATCAAACCAAAATATGTTTGTGGGTGCTGGTGCCACCAACCTTTTTCAACATAAAAATGTTTTGCTTCTGCATAGTCTCCACAATTTTTTTCTGATTTTTATTTTCAATAGCTAAACCATCAAATGTTTAAAGCTACATTGAAAATACAAAACTAGCAGTCACAACTTTTAAAGTAACTTGAAAAGTTTGGCTATTACCAGTTTATGATGAAGAAGCTCCAGAAAGACAGAAATTAAAACAATTACATTTTATTGCAATGGATTGATGTATTTTGATTAAAACTAAGAAAATTGGTTCTGTTGTATTTTAAAGACATTACTTATTTGCAATTAGATTTTTAAGTTTCTTCAGGTAGCTGAATATAATGGAATAAAATTCCTCCCAAAGTTTTTCACTGTGTTTTATATTCATTCTGAAAGATACATTTTGTGCACTACCTTATTGCAAATGAATTGAAATTATTTCAAATGCTTTTAATCCAAACAAACAGGTACTGTGTGTTGGTTACTTCATGGTCCAATTTTTTTGGGGAAGCATGCCTGCAGTCTAACCATAATTATGAACTAATTTCATGCTAAATATCTTGTGTTAAGTTAGAAGCATTATAAAAAATGTCAAACTATGGCATTCAAAGAGATGCTGAAGCCTTCACCTATTTCCAGATACAAGTTATTACAAAAAATTTCAGCCACACATTACTCTGAAGGTTGGATACATGCATTCTTACATTGTGGATTCATAATTTCAATTTACTTGTTGAGAGTTTGGGAAGCCATGCGAGAATCTTGACATATTTGTTTAGATTCAATAAACTTTTAAATGCTGAGTACTTGAACAAGTTTTTCTCCGAGTCTCAACCTGTAGAGCCAGCTTTTGATCAGAATTTTACTTCTACATCTTTATGAATATCTGCATGATTTTATAGGACCGGCCAATTTTTTCTGTTGTTTGTGAAAGGGATGAAATATATTTACACATTCTTTGGGAAAGACTCTTCCACACATCAGAGCTCTGTTTGCTGGGAAAAAGGCATTGCAGTTTGGCCAAGTACCTCTGAGGTTCAAAGCCAGCACTGGCTGCTTGGCAGCTGTGGGCTGGTGCGGCTCACTCTGACATGCCCTGTGACACAGCCATGCAGAGGCAGTGCCAAAGAACTTGGCTTCTCAGTGAGCCTTCTTGGATGCTTGGCTCAGAGAGAAAAGAGGCAGCCTGCTTCTGCCAGCACAGAGCTCCTGGTGCTAAGGGAGTGCTTTGTTATGTACCCCTGGCCTGACTGCAGTCCCTTTACACTCTCCAAGCAACATAGGCAGGGATGAAATCACTAAAGTATCTTCAAGATGTTGTTGTGATCCTCATTGTCTAGTGGTAACTTATCACCCCTCCCTCTGAGCCTCCCCAGTTTACTTTGGCCAGGAGACAGCCCTGAGGTCTGCTGATCCCAGATACCTTAATTTTTCCTCGGTCTAAAATACCTTAACCAAACCAGGCACTGTTTCATATGCAAACTCAGAAAATCAAATCTTTGAAGTGTGTCAAGTTTGCTCAACCTTAAATTGTGCTACTTTGGATCTCTCATCAGTGTCAATATTGATCCCATTTTGTCTGGGTGCTGTGGTCCCTTTCCTACTGACAGTCATAGACTTCACTTCAAGCTATTCTTTTACAACATTCTGTAGAATGACACTGGCCACCCATCCTTCTTGTAATAGTATCACAAAATGCTTTAAAGCAGCTTTTCCTCAGTGATACAAGAATGAAATCAACATTCATATGCTGTCAGCCAGATTGTGGACTTTAAAATCTTTGCTGTTGTGCTCTAAGCAAAACAGTAGATTTCCCCTCAGATGTGATTGAATGTTGAATGCTTTATTTTATTTTAATTCGGGGTTGGAGCCATGATGAAATCATTTGGGCTAGTTTAAGTAGCTAGAAACACTGAAAACTTCTTTTGCTGTAGGTAGCTGTTGGGTCTGGATAGAACAAGAATAGTGATGAGGCTCTTGTCCTTGGAATAAGGGATGCACTAAGTGATTTGGGTGTATAGCAGAAGGTGTGACTGTGTTCAGGTGTGGTGTAAATAAGGCTGGGATATATGCAGCGTGTGGCAGTGCAGGGAAGGTCAGTGGGGAAGGGTGGAGGGGAGTGGCAGAAACCAAGTGCAGTGGGTGTCCTGTCAGGAAAGCAGGGTGGGTGGGAATAAGGGCTGGCGCTAATGGGGAAAGTGATATGGGGGCAAAATGTGCCTGAGAGAGGGGGTGGAGGGGTGCCAGGGAGAGATGGCTGCCGTGGGGGTGCACAGATGCTGAGACAGCAAAGCGTTGCAGCAGTGTGTGGTGGATGGTGGTGACAGTAGCCTGCTGCTGAACAGGGAGGGCAGGAACTGCTGGTGTTGCAGAGAAGGCAGCTGGTCCTGGGGCAGGCAAAACTTTCAGATGTTTTGCCAGAAGTTGTTTCTGGATGTGCTGCTGGGCTTGCAGCTGCAGCAACCTGTATTTGTCTACTTCTTCTGGTGTAAATGTGATAGGCTGCTGTGTTAAAGGAGGGGAGGTGGATTTACTGTACACTTCTAGGTCATTTAGTGTATCACCATACCTCTGCATAGCACTGTCACAAAAAGAGTCTGAACTGCCTTCTGCCCGGTTCAAGTCCATGTTTACATCATGTAGTTCTTCTTTGGTCTCTGTTGAATTAGCAACAGAATATCTATTAGAGGGAAAAGCACCAGGGAAATCATTTGGTACTGGATCACAGCTTTGTATAAAGGGCTGCACTTCACTAATGAAGAGATTGGTTTGTTCCTTTATTGCTGTGTTCCTTTTTATGCTTGGATTCTGATAGCCTGTTTCAATTTGAATTATGTCTTTAAGAACACAATGATCATAATCAGTTCCAGGTGAAAGAGTAACGTTTGTTATCTCTGATGCTTCAGTGTTGTTTTTCTTCACACTGTTTTTCAACAAACTGATTTCATTATGTCTCATATCATTTTTACCTTTGCTTAGCACTTTCTCTGGCAAAGGTAACATTGCAGTGTCATCTACTGATGATGAAAACTGAAGAGCAAAGTGACTTTGTGAGTGATCCTTTAATTCTATCCCAGTACTGATTGAAAATCTCTCTGGATCATGCATTTGTTCCTGGGTTTTCTTAGACTGCACTCTTTCTAAAAGTAACTTGGCTGTCACTGACTTTCTTTTTCCACATATGTCTTTTGCCAGGTTTTTGGAAGAGCAGGCGGCAAAGTTTTTAGACTGACTGTTCCCATTGAGAGAGTTGGAATTTGCAGTTTCAGCTTTTCCTGGTTCAGCATTAGAACCTCTCTCAGCATCCTCTTTTGTTTTGTTGTCACAGTTGTCAGTCTCTTTTGAGACGGATCCTGAACTGCTGCATCTTGATATTCTGCTGCTAGATGATCTTTCACTGCTTCTTGAATCACTAGTGGAACCACTTTTGGATTTGTGGCAGCTTCTACTCCTGCTAAACCCTTTGCTAAGATGCTGATGTCTACATCTGCCGTGTTTAGACCTGTCTCTGCTTTGTAAAAGTTTATGTCTTGAACATCTTCGATATTTAATTGTGCTACTCTGAATACAGCTTCTAGTCCTGTGACTTCTACTATGACAAAGATAATCCTCGTCTGTATCATCTGAAGTGAAAATACACTTGTGCTTTCTGTGTTTGTGCCTTTCATCTGTCTTGCTTTTTCTTTTACAACAATAAAGCAAATTATTTCTTCTGTGATTGTTTGATGTGGGATTCATGTAGCTCATGTAGCTACTCGTACTGCTAACTGAAGTGTCAGAATAGCTGGAATGTCTGCCAGATGAGGACTTTTGAGGAGATGGGAATCTCCAACATCTTGTGTAACTTCCACATCCTTCATTATCTGAATACCTGTTGTTTGAACTGGATTTACAGCTAAAGAAACTTCCACTAGAATCTTTTCCACTGTCACTTATGTCACTGCTGCAGCTGACCACGTCTTGAAGGGATCTGGAATAATTTTTGCTCTCATATTTTTCTTCAGAATAAATTAAATGACATTTTTCAGAGTTAGAGTTTTTAATCCTAGACATAAAAGCAGAAAAGGAAATGCTTTCGTTTCTAATGTTCTGAGTTTTTCTTTCACAGTCATGGAAATGATGCTTTAAAGGTCTCCTCAGTGATTTTGTATAAAGACTTTTTTCTGTCACATAATCCTTTTGTGAGACGTCAAGGTAAGCAGGCACTTTGGGTATATTTTCATTCAAATTGTCTGCAATGCATTTCTGACCATTTTTATTCATTTCTTTCCCTATGTCTGACTCAGCTTTTTGCTTGGCCTTTCTTGGATTTAGGGAACCTTTCATCTTCTTTGGTTTCAACAGCTGATTATCTTGTTCATTTGACATTTGCTTGTGTTTTATTAAACCTGAGGGTTCATATTCATCTGCAGTCTTATTTTTAGAGAGCTCTTTACAGCTTGCTTTGTTTATTTCATTCTGTTTACCCTCCCTGTGATTTAAAGAGAGTCTGAAGTCAAAATATAATGGATTACAGCCATATGAAATACAGGGCTCAGTTTTTGTAAACAAAAGTAATTCTGTGGGCCACTGCAGAGCAGTGGTGCCATCTTTGCTCACTACATGGAGGAAAGGCAATGCCTGGGGCTTAACTTCTTTAACCATGGTCTCCTTTTCAAGTGTTTCCATATTTCCATCTGTGGTTTCGGTAATCTCCAAAGATCTTTCTCTTTTTATCACTCCAGGACTCTCATTACTGTTGCTTGAACAGGTCAGCTCAGGTGCTGGCTGTCGTGGGAGCTCAGATAACTGGGCAGGCAGGTGGGCATTACTGGGCTTGTAGGTGTTCAGCTGCGTACAAAAATTGCTAGCTTGGCATGAAGATGAGATGGGAGTTTCTAAGAATTGCTCAGATTCATTCAGTTTGCTCTCTTTCTCTGTTTGTCTCAGGGAAGCAGAAAAATTTGTAAGTGGTATTTTGACTTTAGAAAATGAAGGATTATCTCTGAGTTTTTCTTCTGATTCTTTATCATTACTTTTATCATTTTCCTTTAGCATTTTAGGTTTTGTAGCTACATGACTTGATGCACTGTTATCCAAATCCATTTGGTCTTGTGTAATAGGTAGCTCTTTATCCAAACTTGCTTTCTGTTGTTCCTCCAAAAGTGTGACAGAATGACAGCCCTCAATAGTTTGCTTTTTTTTGTGGTTGGGGGACTCACTATAATCATTTCCTTCTTCACAGTTTTCACTGAAGACAGATGCTGATGACTCAAGCTTCAAAGGGACCTTTTTAGAGAATGAAAAAGACACTCCTGCCCTTTGAGAGGTATTGTTGCTGTATGGGAACATTTGTGAGATGTGATTTCCAAGTGCATGGTGTCTTTCAGCTGGGGGGTGGTGCCTGCTTATAATAAGTTGCTGTTTCTCCAGTATGCTTCTGGAGAAGCCTTGTCCTTCACTTGTGATGGTTCTTTGAGAATTTGCTGTGAACTTGCTGCCCTTGTACAGGAAAATACCACCTGGTGATTGCTGCTTTTCCAGGACTAATCGGGGGGCTTTAAGCAATGGTCCACTCGCAGTGATGCTTTAAGGTAAAAAAAATAAAGAAAAAAAGAAAGCTGCATTAAGTAACCAAGTTATGACAGAGCTTGCATTTGACAATGTCTGTCTGGTGGAGGAGGGTGTCACTCAGTTTTTTTACAGGGTAAAGCTAAGTGTCAACAAAGTCCAGTTTATCATCAGTTTGGAATTTTGTATGGGCAAGACAATCTTTACACATAGACAATTACATGTTTTAATGTCAGCACATGAATTTTCTTTTTCAGTTATACCCATGTACAAGCAGAACAAATATTGGTTTTACTCCAAATTTATATTTAGGAGAAACTAATCTGTGGTAAGTCTTGCTTTTCTGAAAGGCCTCTGCAAAGGAATTGTGCTATGTTCAAAAAGAGATATTTCCACCTGGAGCATCTGCAAAATCAAACTCTAGAAGAAAAAGAAATACGTTCTGCTTGCTTAGGAAAGAATGTATTTGTCTGACTTTTTAAAGAGTAGATTCTTATTTTATTCCACAATAAATGATTTTGCAAAATATTCAAAGAGAAGATATTAATACTAAAACTGTCAGCAAACATTGAGGGTGAAAAAAATCACAACTTAACCGGTCTCATTATCAACCATGATTTGACTTTGCCACATTTTCTGTGTCTTACGTCCATTAATAACATTATTCCTCTTTTCAAAATATCTCAGATTTTAAATATTATTTAGTTTTCTTGTAATTAAAGAAAAAAGGTACCTATTCTAGGGCCTTAACAAAAATGGCAAACCACTGATTTTTTGAAACAGATAACTGAGACTGAAATGACTGTAGCTATTTTCCATTAAAGGTGTGACATATATGGCCACCATAAAAGCGTTTTTCCAATACATATTTTAAACACACATTTCATTAGCCTAATTATCTACATTTGCTATCAGTGTCTAGTTTCTTTTTTTCTTGTTAATGTACTGTGGTACTCTAAAAAGAAAAAAATAAACTAGAACCAGTTTAAATAAAGAGTTTGATAAAAAATGTTTTACATTTATATAATTTACATTTACATGTAAATAATTTACATTTAATTAAAATGTTTTATTTAAACATTTTAATTAAATGTAAATAAATTAAAACAGTCAGATCTGCATAATAGCTATCTATAATTGGCAATCATGTTTTATAAATGCTATAAAAATACCTTGATCTTCAGCAATGGGAAAAACAGAAAAATTCCCTGGAGTAGAGTCAACCCATAATGTGAGAATATGCATGCATTCCAGAGAATATATTTGCCTTTGCCAGAAATTCAGCATCAGGAGATACAAATTAACCCCTATTTGTACATCAGGAATAATTATCTCTTGGAGAAGGCATACAAAGAAATCCTTTTTAAAGTCTTGGAATAGCAAAATAAAATTTTTCTGTCCCCGAGATTAACAATTTTCTTCTCAAACTGAATCAGCTTATTGTAAGGAACAGTGTTGGAACCTGAGAGACAGTACTCAGGGATGGTAACAATTATATGAGTGTGGACTTCTGCTTACAAAGGCTGACATTCTGCCTTTCCTGAGCAATTGGGAGTGTTACCCCTCCACCAAAATCTTGGCACTCGGCCTCCCCTGAGCCTGTTAGTGGTTACAGGGGGGAATAGCAAGCTCTTTCCTTCCACACTCTGTGCAAAATGTTATGGACTCCTGGCTCTTTCTAAAAGAAAACCCGCTCTTTCCCTCCCAGATTTGTTCTGGCTTTCCTATTATCACTGGTATTATCGCTCTATTCTGAGGCTACATCTTCAAGTGCGTGGGCATAAAGGAAGCTTCCCACAGGCAGTTACATTTGTTTCAGCAGATTTATATGAAAATGGAGTCACAATCATAAAAGTGATATATTAGCACTAAACTGTTATATTTCAGCAGATTGCTCAAAAGCAATTACATAGGCCAAAATGAGTTTGTAATAAACTCTGAATGCTGTTATTTCCAGGGTACAGTAGTCTTCAGATGAGTTTAAACAATGCCAGTTTATTTATCTGATTAACTCCTTTTGGTCATACATTAATATAAACAATTGGTCTGATGGCAATCTATTCTACTGAACCATTCAGTGTCATTAAACAAAGGAGATTTCTCATATTTAAAGGTTTACTACAACAATCTTTGTCCTCTATCTTGATATTAATTAGTAGAGCTGACAGTATTAGACAAACTTAATTCAGTTAATTACTTGTTTTTCATTCAAATCATCCTACAGAGAAACTGAAAAGTAGTAAACCTTAAAAGTAGTAAAAATTATTCACAAAGGGTTTATCCTTTCCCATTAACTTATGATAAAATGTTAAGACAGTCATACTAATCTGTTCAGATCAGTTTGGGTAGGGTAAAATGGTGATATTATAAAAGCACCTTCAAAGCGCTCCATTTAGAAGACATGAGAATATCTATCTACAGGAGAGAAAATTACAAACTTTCAAACAGCACGTAATTAAGGCAGAAGTTTTCAATGTATAGTTTGCAGAACAGGATTGTTTGGAGTCGAAGACAGCTGAAAACAGGTTACAGTACACACAATCTCTGTACATTACTTGTGTAGGAGTAAAAATATTATAATTTCTTCTGGAAGGGAGGAAAGAGGGCATTAAAACCTCCTATGTTTTTTAAAAACTTGCCATTCTGACTGCTTCCGTAACTCTGCAAGCTGGTGGAGTCGCTTGAGTGCTTTTTCCTGTTTCTTCTCATCTTTCCATGACTTTGAAGCCACATTTCGAGCAAATTCCCTTTGTTTTAAGTCTTTCAATCTCTGTGTGAAAAGAATATAAACAGAAGGGATTAGAGATGTACACACTAGATACAGTGCCTCTTACTCCATTTATTCACTTTTCATGAAGTTGGTATGTAAATGGAGAATAAAAGTATACTTAAAATACCGTAATAGTGAAAAGAGATTGAAATTGTTATTTTTGCTTACCAAAACAGCATAATTTGCCCTCTGCTATTTATCAGATAGATGCCTATGTATCAATGACAACCTTTTTGGTTTCTGATGAATACAAAAATGTTCTGTTGTGTACAAATACAACAAGACACAAAACTAGAATCCATTTAGTGAAGTCAACATTTTCCTATTTGATTCATCCTGTTGAAATGCAATCCACAGACATGTACTGGAATAACTCTGAGCTATAAAATATATGTGTAATATATTTTATAGTTCTCTACTTGGACATGCATACACAGATGTGTGGGAGCTGATCTGTTGGTTTTGTACCTTTTCAAGGCTGTATTATTTTCTCAAAGGAGAGAACCACTGTCTGAAATATTTGATCAGGAAACTGTTTTATATCTATTTTCACAATTTTTTAATCACCTCCCATATCTATAAACCAGGTAATTGCTGTTGGAGAGAGAAAAATTCTTTGCCTTTATTATATTTTTTTATTGTCTGATTTTGCACTAAACATAAGGAAAACGAAGGAGAAGACATAAACTAGGAAGTGTCAACAGCATCCTCTGCAAAAACAGTTGTCTCAGTTCACTGTGCTCTCTAGGAGCCAGAAAGTCACATCTGATCTTACAACTCCCCAGCTCAGATCCATGCTTCTGTACTCCATGGCAGAAATGCCTTCCCCCTTCCCCACTTCTTCAGTGTTTGGGGAAAAAATGTTTGCTAGGAGGGAAGGGGCTCTGGTGTATTCAGCCAGATGCCCAAACTGGAAACTTTGAGAACCAGAACTGAAACTAAACTGCTGCATTTGTTTGCCCCTTGGTCCAGAGGTGGCTGCATTCATCTGTGTAATTTAGAACTACTATATCAACACCATGCAATGCTAAATTTTATATGGAGCTGTTTTTGCAAAGTAGATTTGAAGAAAGGTTTTGATATCTCAGTCATTTTTAAAGTGCTGCTTGTCTTTCAGCATCTAAGCCTACTTGATTGTCCACCAACACCTAAAGATCAACGTCCCAATCTCTGCCATCATCTCATGCTGCTGTTTCACTCACTGTAGCAGGGCCAGAAGATCAATATGCATCAGTAGGATAAACTGAAGGCTGACCAAGCATTGTAAAATCAAATACTGCTTGCTGCAGCTCAGGTATGGGGAGCAGTCTAGCCATGGCACAGAGCTGTACACTGGCCAACATGCACCTGCTTCTGAGAAAACAGGGCTGGAGGCAAAGAATCCTCAAATGCTGGAAGTCAAGAAAATTATAAGTGCATGAGAGAACTGCTTTCTGGAGAGAGATCTAGCTTTTACCTGTAGATTATGACAAAGCAAATGGGTGAAAACCACCATCTAAAGAGACAGGTCCTTTTTTGTCCAGATAAGATGAAAGAATCCTGTTAGTGGCAGAGATATAATATGACAGAAAGACATGGAAAAACACTTGATGGAAACAGGCCATAAAAGGTCTGTGATTTCTTTCTGTGAAGAATGCTGGAAAGCTGTAGTGAGCATCTCTCACCACTGTCACATCAGCCGTTCTTCAAGTGTGGGATTTTTTAAAAAGTCAGATAACATCTGTGGGAGAAAAATCAGTTCTGGGAGACTAAGAGCAGAAGATTTTTGTTTGCTCTCAGCCTTTTGGACACAAAGATATATGCCGTTCAGCACTGATTTGGAGACAAGGAGAGCTGGGCTGTCCACAAATCTGCTCAGGGAGCTTAAGATGAGTCTCTGGCTCTCAGCCATCCTGACAGTTTTGCACAGACGCTCTCTCTTGGATGGGGATTAGAATGCCAGGAAGTTTCTCAAGGAACTGGTGCACCACCAACCAGCAAGAATCATCATATTCCGTAGTGCCTGATGAAAGCTTAACCATTTTATCAGAACTATCTATAGTTTGTCAAATCTGTATGTTTCTCCATAAAGTTTGTATCAGCCCCAACATCCAGTACTTCATGGAACTAGACTCTAAAACAGGACAGCTGTAAAGTCCTCTTTAAAGCTTTTAGGCTTCACCTTCTTGAAAAGAAGTGGTTGCTCCCTATATGTTTAGCTCTTAACTCTGCCTTCATGTGCCTTCTCTCATTATTCATTTGTCCCTTGCTAGGCCAGTCACATAGCACTCCATGCCCTCAACCTCATTGTCTGCAATTTACAGTCAAATGGATGAATATGTAAGACAATGTTACTTTTGGTTCAAGAAAAAATCTTTTCAAATAATATATTAAAGCCAAAGCTGAAAAAAGAAATCAAAGAATCTTCCTAGAACAAATCCAAATGTTCTGTCACCTAGGTAATATTTACATGAGTGTAGAGATATTTAAGCTGTAAAGATCCTATTCTCCACAGAAAAACGTAGGTAGTCTTGAGCCTTATTAACGTGTCCAATGTGAAGAAAGGGCAAAGAAACACATTTGAGAAATGCCCTTTAGGGCAGATTGCTATGTTTTAGCTGTCACCGTGAGCTGTTCAGCATCACACATAAAGCATTCATGAGGAAAAACAGAAACAGTTTCTACCTGTCAAGGAAACAAAGAACAGTGTGAAACCGAGAACTATGGAGCACACTACTGCAAAGCAATGCCATTTCATTTCTTTGACAGTTAGGATGATAATCAAAAAAGCAAATGGACCAACACTACGAATAGGAGCATTTTTTGCTCTCTAATGGCATGCAGCATGTGTCAGAGAAGTAGAGAAAAGAAAAAGTAATGTAGGTACGCATAGCAGAGAACCCATCAACTGGAGCTGAAATCCAAGACACCAAAAGCTCTACAGTGTGAAGAGAGAAAGGGCTCTCCCTGCACATCCCCTCAGCAAAACAAAACAGAGCTGCACTGCCAGAGCTCTAGTTAGGAGTCATAATGAAATTTGTCAGCTATGTTGGATAGATCATGGGACTGCCTGCTGAACCTGCAAAGCCCTGGTTTTCTTCACTAATAACCTGTGCCACACTTCTGACAAGCACACAGATATTTTCTGCAGGTGGGGTACAAGAGCAAGCAGTTGAGCAGATATCTGAATGACAACCCCAAACTCAGTAGGTGTGTTTGAAAATTAACATTGCTTTACACAGCAGTAGCATTTTTCACATAATTAGGTACCTAACTGGGCATCCAAATATAGGCGTGTATAATAAAATATGATTTATTTAATAGCTTTCTTGTGTTCTGTCCTTCACCTGCTACAAATATAGTTGTCATGCAGTTATATTTCTTTTTTAGACTAATTTTATATTCTAAGTTTTTTGTACACGTGTGTGGACATTTCCATATCTAAAAGTAAACCATCCCTTTTTTTATAAACACCCACAGAGAGTGTTAGAAGACTGCAAAATAATATTAATTGTCATGGACAGATCTACTCGTAGAACTGTTCTGAGTCCCATTGGTTCTTCTGTCTAAGACTCAGTCAAAAACTGGTGAATCTATGCTTTTCCTCCTGGAACTCTAATATGAATCACCAGGAGATTTAAATGAGTAAATGGATCTGCATCTTCACTACCTACTTTTGCTAGACATCAAATAACAGTAATTTAGGTCAAATACCTGTAATTTAGCAATTTATTCCTATTTTTAGTGTTGTGTTTTGTTATTTTTTAAAATTTTTACTCTATTTGGGCCAGTACTTTCTTTACACTGACCTATGAGCACTTGAATACTCACTGCTGGCTGCATTTGCAGTACTGAGTTTACTTTCTATCCAGAATTATGATCCTAGTTTCTATTTTTCCCTGTGCAGGTAGATGTTTACCTGGATTGCTATTCTTCTGATCAACTTCAGATGCCTTTCTTCATAACCACTGGTAAGAAATAAGCACTTTAGGCCCCTAATCACCTGTTTTTAAAGAGCTGTTTAAAACAAGAGGGATAAAGTAAAATGTAAAAGTACCTCCTTCTTTTCATTGTGTATATAGGTTATTAAAGGTGTTTATTCTAATTTCTACAGGGTGTTCCTTTATGAAGGAGACATGGCTGACCTCCCAGCTAAGGTGCCTTTACACTAATGCATACAGCACGGGCAGCAAACCAGAGGAGCTGGTTCCCACTGCTCTGCTAGAAAATTAGGAACAAATTGCCATCACTGCAACATGGTGAGAGGAATGAAGGATTTAGTTAATAAGCCCATCTGAGAAACTGCCCTCTGGGACAAGGGAGCAGAACCAAGCCAGCAGATCTTGGAGGAAATTATACCAATCCTTTGGTCTAAGAGGAAAGGAGAATGGCATGGCTGAATCATGACCTGCTGGTAAAAATAAGAGGCAAGAACGAAATGGAAAGATAGTGAAAGAAGGGACAGGTGGCCTGGGAAGAGTATAGTGATGCTGCTCAGCTGTGTAAGGACTGGTCAGGAAGGCCAAGGTGCAGCTGGAACTGAACTTGGCAAGGGATGAAAAGAATAATAGGGAGAGCAGGAATGTCAGCTAGAAAATGAAGGTTAAAGAAAGCATACTGACAAATAAAGAAAACAAACTAGAGTGGTGAACGGGTAACAAACGAGGAGGAATTTGAGCTACTCAACAACTTTTTTGGCTCATTCTTAACTGGCAAGTGTCTCAATTTGAGGACCATAGGAGTATGGTACTGGGAGACAGTATAACTTATCCTGAGTATTCTGACAGGGGCTATGTCATTATATAGGTTTTACAGGGGTTCTCAGAGTTAACAGCTTCAGATTCTGAGAAGAACTGTTGTTGCAACTATCCTGAGCTGCAAATCCTCTTCTTCTTCAAGTAGTGTAACTGCATGGATGTGGTTAGAAGGTATCTTTGAGAAAAAAGTAATTTTTTATGTATTAAGCTAGAAAATGTGATTTTAGTATAAATTAAATTGGCTTTTTCCCATTAGATTTATAA